ATGTATTACGAACAACGTTCATAATGAGGGCATAAAAATATTTGCTGTGTTAACGATCATGCTTTGGACCGACTAAAAGCATCCGCAGAGCTGTCCACCGATCGGTGCAAGACATCTTACTCAAAGCCTCTTTCCGCCAGAGTAAACTTCAACCAGCTCACCCGTAACTGTGTTGTTTTCGCTGAATTTATCGTTTCCTATTGCTTTTAATGCCTTCATTCCACTTCCTTGTATAGTAAATCCCATGGGGGGGGGGGGGGGGGGGGGGGGGGGGTGTCAATGAATTCAAACGATAATGCTGATAATTACCACTCCGCTCTCGCCACCAAAAACGTTTCGAACGGTCTGCCCCTAGGTGGCGCCGCGATTCGCAAAACGAAGTTAGTTGGGCGGGTGGGCGTTTGTTTGTATTTCTTCTTTTTAATCTCTCGATGGATGCGTGTATTTGGCGCCCGACTATACCCCCCACGGGTCAGTGCTAAAAATGGAGTGTAGTACGCCCTTAGTTTCCAAAATGGGAAAACGTTCCAGATTAGTCGCTTGGCGCCGTCTTGTGCGTGTGGCGCGCTGACTGTGTGTGGGTGTGGGGGAAGGAGCGGGCTCTGACTCATTCATTCATGCATCCTGCTTTCACAGCTGGCACAAAATACTGAATCACTGCTTCGCGCTCGTATTTCGGTGGAGTTTCATTCTCGGTATTTCGTCCTGTCTGCTGCCGCTGTAACGATCCCCCAGTTTTGCGCCGTTAAAACAGTTGTCCCCGAGCGCTGCTCGCTACCACTGCTTTGCCGCGGGTGGGCGGACGAATTCTCATATCGTGAACTGTTACTTAGCCACCGTGGAGCAGTGACGGATCCAAGGGGGGGCGGCGGGGGCGCCCCCCCCCCCCAAACAAAGTCTACCCCCTCCCTCCCCCCTTCTCGGAGGGCAATTCGACATGGGTGGACCCCCCTTGCACAAAAAAGAATGGGAGAATAGTATCCTTAACAAATTTTCGCCCCCCCCCCCCCCCCCCAAAACGGAGTTCTGGATCCGCCCCTGCCGTGGAATCGCACTGAAAATAACCTAAGCCCGCTGTCATACTGCTAATACGTTGTACCAAAAGATAGTCTTCATACAGATTAAAACGCGAGTTACCACAAGATCCGTGCTTCGAATGCCGGATAATAGTGAGTTCAACGGCATTCAAACCACGGATATTGCCGTAACCCGTGTTAGTAGACGGTCTTTTGTATGATGTGTATGAGAAGTGTGTTCCAGGCTTTATGGAGTTTCCTATGGCGTGCCCAACAAGACCGGTGGAACTACCGTGTAATCCATCGTTGTAAGAACCGCGTTGCTTGCAGTTATAACTTAATTACACGATAGTGAAAAGTACGTGTTATAATTTCGAAGTGATGTCGACGTCGCAATTAAAAGGGAATCTCCTGTGTAGTACAGGCAACACTACACCGCTTCCTTCTAATTAAAAGCTACGTATTGTGATAGCAGTTTCAGAGAATACTTGGACGTAATTATAGTATTATTTTTTCGTGTTTTCCAAACTAAGGTAAATGTTGTGCAAGTCGAATTGAGGCACGATTGAAATTCAGCCATTACGGTGCTATGTTCATGTATATATACATAGAGAGAGAGAGAGTTATATATTTTCATTTATTTCTTTTTATATTCGTACAGTTTGCAAATAAGTAACTCGCCGAAGACACTTCAGATTGCTTACGTGTAGGAATGGAAAAGCATTCCTACACATTCTTACACGCAGCACACTTTTACAAGCATCGCGCCACGTCGTTGCTCCTCTAAACTAACATTACCATCTGCAACGTGTTCCAAAAAAGAACAAAAGGAAACACACGGTTTTTTTTTTTTTTTTTTATATATATACACCGGAAATGCAAGCTACTCGAACTGTCAGGCTCGCCCCAAATATAGCATCAGCGTTCCTGGTCGAATGCCAGAGTTTCACAAGTACCCCTTATCTGAATCAGAAGTGATTAGCGATTTTCTGAAACTTCGATGAGAAAATGGGGCCTCGTTCCCCCGTATTCATTCCCACGTATTTAAGGGCTTCTTCCGCACTCTTACCCCACTTTACATTTCTAAGAATCGCCTGTAACTTTTGATTAAGGTAACGCTTTGTTCTGAAACGCTGGCACCTGGTTCGGACAGCTAACTCAACACATGAGCCAAAAGTAAAGGTTCAACGATACGCGTTTTTTGTTTGTTTGTTTGTTGGTTTTTCTCAGTGAACAGTGAAAAAATAATAATTTTTATGAAGAAAATGTGTTCTTTTTTTATATTAAATCTATTTGATTTAAATCACACGATATAAATCACTTCAGCTCGGAAGGAATAACTTTTTATATTACTAGATTTTGTGTTATCTGTATTAGCTGCCTTATATGTTATTTCCTACTTGATCACTGTTTGCTATAAGTACAAAATAAATGCCCATGGGACGCAAACACTGATGGGCAAACGGTCAACAGAAAATATTTTCAGTATTGCTGGTGGGGGAAAAGTGTTGGATTTAAATCATCATAGCCAAACCGGTACAATTTAAATCACAATTTCAATCATCTTGAGTTTTACTCCCCGCCCTGACGGTGCAAAAAAAAAAAAATCGTTGCAAATTATTTCTTGGGACACGTTGTGGAAGTCGCGTATCTTATTATGTTATTGTTTTAAGTGTTGGGTTTTCTTGAAGCGCCGGTGTGGGCGTGACGGCGCTAGCTGTGGCAAGCAAATAACAGCGCAAAGCAAATACCCCTGTCAGACGGCGTTTTAAAGATCCTTTTCACTGAGCTCCTTTATATATTCGGCGAACCAGCGCACGCCGTAGCGCACGTGAGCACGCCGTAGAGCACGTGCGCACTCCACATCGCGAGCTGATTGGCCGATTTTATAAGGGAGCTTAGTGAAAAGGATCTTTAGAACGCCGTCTCAGTCTCACAGGGGTAGAACTCAAACACGCCATTTAATTCCCTAGAAATGTACTTCGTCACGTCTGTTAGTTATCGCTGCTAGTAAAAGAACGATCGAGGTAACCCGAAAAAAAGCGACCGATAATTAGTTGACCGTCCTACCCACAGAGGACGCTAGTAGTATTGTTGCTCTAATCGCCGATAGATGGCGCTACCTACCTTTGTTCGGAGCTTCGCGCCGATGTGTGTTCGGTTCTGCCACGAGAAGGGAAGCGCGAACTAAATCGGGGACATTTGGAATTGCTTATTTCAATTGAATTTTATTTTCGAAGGCATAGAGACCCTCAGCTGCAAATGCCGGGTACAGTGGGTGTTTTCATCCTAAAACGCAACTTTTTTTTTTTTTCTAATTCACGACGAAAAACAGAGCATTGATCTCTCTTGACCTTTGCGCTATTTAATTTTTACATTTTACATTGATCTTTCTTAGGTCCAAATATTTATTTTAATTGACCATAAATGCTAGATACACAAGAAGCCTAAGCCTAAGTTATTCATCAAATTGAAATTTGAGATTGTGAATGCGTGCAGTAATTACTAATTAGCCAGTGAAAAAAAAAAAACTTCTCAAAAAAACCCTTCGTTTTTTGTTTTTTCTCGGAAAACAATTATACAGGCGGCCACAATCTCATACCGCTATGATGCATTAGACTTAAATAAATTAATTAGACTTAAATTACATTCGACTTAAATAAACAAATTAAACTTAAACGTCGGCTCAGAATTTTTTTTTCTTTTTTCATGTTATGATTTAGTAAACTTTAGATGTTAGTACTTACCCAATTTATCACAACCACTAGCGTCACTTTCTCACGGAGTTTCAGCTACCCGATATGCGTGGTCTCTTTATGCTTGTCGAAACACCGGTTTTCATTTCCTCGATTTCATGCTGACATTATCCCTCTCTAGTGCGTACCATACTGAATGTATGATAAATTAAAGGGCCCATTTTTACTTTTCTAGAGATGTTAAGGACGTTAATATATATTTATTAAGTCACACAAAAGAGCTTGCTATGCTTTTGAGATCAGCGTCCAGACCGAGCGCCATTTTCTTAGAAAAATAAATATAGCGAAACGTTCATAACAGTTTAAGGTCAGCTAGCATAAGAAAGCTTACTTCGGGAGTGTTGTCAGAAAGTCCTAGTGTTGTAGTTTAGGATTTGAGGAAAGTAAAAACAGTCAAACATGCGGTCCCTGACAGACAAAAGTAACTTTTTTTTTTTTTTTGTAGGAATGCTTAAAACATAATTGTTATTAGACAGTATTAGTGGACCGTACGCTAAAGCTTTGCGTGCGGTCCTACGACCCGTACGGGCTTTGCGCATGCGCAGAATGCAATAGAAGCGCTAGCTTATTCCGCACGCGTTGCGGCCTAGCGGGTAGCTCTCGAGAGATCTCGGGCTCGGCGAGAGCACCAGTTTCAAGATGGCGGTTACTTCGACTGGCGCAACACGGGGGACGTGTATATGACTTATATGAAATCACGTGGTGCTCAGCTGGTACTTTTCTTTTTTTCGTGAACTACCGCAGCCTAGTTAAAAGGAGTACATGTGCAGCTTATTCGAACGATAGACAAATTGCAAATTCTATGTAAGCCTGCTGGCCAACCCTAAAGGGCTCGTTCACACATTTGCAACCGAGTAGGACCGGCTGAGACAAGATAAATTTTTAAGCCTCCTGCGACGACTTCGAACCTGCTCCGCAGAGGCGCGTCTGGTCCTGCGCCGTCGGATGACTTAAAAGCCGGTCTTGTCTCACTCGGTTGAAAGAGTGTCAACGGAAATTGATAGTTCAATATCGTAGTGAAACCTAAATGCAAGAGACAGTTGCTAAGAGTGTGTACTCAACATATCTGCAATATTTTCTGTTGGGCTAACCAGAGCGAACACTGGAGAGGACACTTCCTCTGAAATGTGAGCCCGTCACCGACTACGAGCTTTGAATAAATCCTGGAACAAAAAAATTGGGAATAGGCAAACAGTTCAAACATACGAAAGAAAACAGCACACGGGCAGTATGAGTAAAACAAGGCTTTAATTTCAACTCCCGATCATAATCTTACTTGGCTTCTATTTCAGCACATAACTTAATAAACATTCGGTGTTTTTTTTTTTGCTTTCTTTTGTAGTCTCCAATCTCAACCACAGTACAGAAAGGAAGCAACTACAATCCACAAAAAAAAAAAAAAACACAGGACAGTACAGTACAAAATCCAATCGCCTCAGTATTCCTCTGTTCCAGTTGCATTCATCTCTCCAAACTTGCACTATTAAAGCTCTCTATTTTCGCTATGACGATGGCTGGCGTGGAGAAGTAAATTACATATGTGAGGAAGTTTTGTATATATAATATATAATAATGTGTATATAAAATGCATATGCATATTTTTCAATGTAACTTCCTACACTTTTTTTTCAAACCTACTAAGGCACAGCAGTTTAGAATTAAGACAATGTAAAAAAAAAAAAAAAAAAAACGAGCAATGCCAACACTTTCTAGATAAGGAGGCCATTGGTGCCGAAGTTTCAACAAATACGGGTAGGGATTTGACAGCAGTGGCAAGTCGGCGGTAGTTGGCCAAAGACTCGAGGACCAGTTCCAGCCCAACACTGACGCAATGCTTGTGTCCACACCGTGCTCCGCATTTGCCTTTTTAGGCACTGCAGCCTATCTAGCAGGTGTTGGCAAAGCACACACCCCCTTCATCAAATGCCACAAAAAAATTCATGCAGACAAAAAAAAAAAAAAGTCTAGAGTGTTGACAAATTAGAGATGTAACACAAAATGGAGGCGCATAATTTTTTTAAAACCAGGGTGGACTCGACAGAGCTACGGCACTCTGCAAGAAACAAAAAAAAAAAAAAAAAAAAAAAAAAAAAACACGATAATGGCGCAAAAAAGATTGAATTTAAAAGGAAAGACACAACTTGTGTTCCCTGGACACTCCAGATGACCTACTAAAAACACGAAAACAACGCTTCTGGGCGGTACCTTTCCGCCCTACCCCCCAGCTTCAATCCGTCCAGGAGCAAATTCCAAAGCAACTATCAGCGGCAAGTCTAGGGGGGAAACAAACTTCAGAACTCTCTTCGCGTTCTTAAAAATACATTGCGTGCGCGCGCAGACACACACACACACTAAAACAAGGCACCAAGTCACACACTACACAAACGCAAAAAACACTAAGCGGGATCATCGCCTGTATCCCCGGATATCACAAAACAAATTAAAATTACGGAAACGCTACACGGGTGGCAGTCCTAACAACTGGAGCAAAGTCTGGCGTGTGTTAACACTTGGTGAAAAAGCAAAAGCCTCCGGGACAGACTGGAGACGGCGAAAGAGGAGGGAAAACGGGGATAGGAAAGGTAAAGAAAGCAGCGGCGCAGTCAAGACACCGCACCACGCCATAGGAACTTTACGCTGTTGCCATAGTAACGTCCACACGGAAATTGTCGAACCGTGGAACGCGACCACATCGCCACCGAACGCCACCACAAGGGGGACGGGAGGGGAGGGGGAGGATGAAAAAAAGAAGAAGCAAGCCATTTTAAAACGAAAAAAAATTGTGCCCTCACTAGATCACTCGAGAAAAAATAAAAGCAAGCAACTTGTTCCGAGAAAGGTCCCAAACACAGCAAACCGTCGGCCGCAAGCGATACTCTAAACGCAATGCGCCGGTCCACTCTTGCGCTCAAAGTTCACCAAGTACCCCTTTGCAAGAAGCGCAAGTTTTCTTTCCAAACTTTGCGAAGGAACAGCGTCGTTCGCAAAGGCCAGCACGAAAGCAACAGGCTCAAAACGTGAAAGGGACGACTCGAACGCCGCCAGATGTCGAAGGTACAGGAGTATCGAGGCAACAACGAACCAAGCTACTCCGTGCAGACGGAAGAGTCGGGGAGCAGCAAATATTCGAGCACCGAGGGGTGCAACGGTGCAACGGACAGCCCTGCGCTCCCTCGCACCCACTACAAGCTCGACGCGACGCGCAGGCACCGCCTGCAGCGTCGCTTTGGCATGCGGCCCCCCTGCATACTCAGCCATTCTAACATTAGTGGCGACCCACCCGGCGGCAAGAGCACCGAAGTCGAAGCAACTACAACTGAGGTGAAGATCCATAATGCCCATTGAAGCTGCCGGCATAGGGGGAAAGAGGAGTGAGAGGGGGGATTCATAAGGAAGGGGAAAACAGCGGTACAACACTTCCAACAAACAACACGCCAGGCAAACTTTGAAAATTTGTTGCATCCTAGGTCACGGACAAGAACAGAAAAACCTTGAGCTCCGCAAGAAAAAAAAAAAAAAATACCGACGAGATATGGTATGCACGCACAATGAAAAATAAAAAGACTCTTATATCCAGTCGCAATATGGTATGTATTTCACTATGCTGCTATATCGACGACGCGAAAGAGATAAAAAAAAAAAAAAATTTACACACTTGTCCCAGAGTGTTTCTTCTTTACAAGTGGGAGCATGGGGTGGGGGGAGGAAGGCTAAAAATATGGCTACAAAGGGCAACGGCAGAACCGTTCCAGCGAAGGCTTCGACAATCCAGGTACACAAACCTTTCACGCAGTGGGATGCACCGCGCAGTGACTCGACCGCAATTCGTTCTCCGCCTGCCCATTTGCTTCTCACGCGCGCTAGAAAACTTCCCGGTAATGCCTCCTTCGACGACAAAATCAGTGCAACTCCTTCACGGTTTCGCGTACAACAAAGACTAGCTGGTTCGAAGAGGTCGCTATCAGCTTTTGCTTCTGACAATGCTCCGACACTGCCGTGTCCCCAACCCCGAATCGGTTGTCCCCCCAGCAACCCACCCCCGTTAATTAAAAAAGAAAAAAAAAAAGTTTTTTTTTTTTTTAATATGCAGATTTTCGCAGCACAGATATATCAAGAGGTAGGGATGGTTGATCGCAATGTGTGAAAGGCATCGCAGAAGCGAAAAACGACACGAGACCGCTTCGCTCAATATAAAAACCCCAAAGCATTCGTCGAAACTAAAAGAAGAAAAAAGAACTAACAGTTGCACGTATATAAAAAGAAAAACACCTAAGTCATTGTTCAAACTTGAAAACTTCTCACTGCACCATTTCTTTTTTTCTTCATCGCATTCGATTCCATCCATAGTCCACTGTCTTTCGACAGCAACGGCATTAGAGTCGCTTCAAAATCAGCAGCTGAAGGAGCGGTGGATGTCCCGTTCAGCGCTGCTTCCGATTCCGCTGCTGAAGCTGTGCCAGCCTCTTTCGGAGCGCGCGTTGCCGGTGCACCTCCTTGCGGAGCGCGTCCTCGACGCTCGCACTCTGACTGGTCAGTTCTCGCGCGTGATCGGCCGCCCTGTTGAGGATCATCACCTTGGGTGCCTTGGGGTTATCCCTCAGGGACGGTACCATGAGTCGCAGGTGCTGGAACGCTGACCGGAGGTCGTCCCGTCGCTTCCGCTCCATGCTGTTGTGCTCCTTGCGACGCTCGTGGTCCTCGGGGTTGTCCGACGACGAACACGACGACGCGTAGAGGTCTTCTCCGCCGCGGCGCGACCTCTTCGCTGGCGGCTGGTGGACGGGCACGACTGCCACGGCCTGTCTCGATGCGCGGCGACGCTTGACCGAGCCGGTCGCGTGGTGATGACGTTTCCGCCGTGACGCGGAGCCATTGGACAAGAGCTTCTGCGAGGGCGTCACCACCCGACCGCTAGACGTCGTCCGGGACGCCGGTGGTGACGTCGGTTGTTGGTGATGGTGATTCTGCTGACTGTGGTGTTGTTGGTGATGCCGCTGGTGGTGATGCGCCTGCTGAGGATGATAGTGGTGGCCGCGGGCAGACCGGGAGGTCGCAGCGCGGTGGTGGCTGTGTCCGTTCTGGTGCTGCTGGCGTTCGCCGGCCACCGTCACCACGTCGATCTCCTCGTCCTCTTCTTCGTCGTCATCATCATCGTCATCATCATCATCGTCGTCTTCTTCCTCGTCATCTTCGTCGTCGTCATCGTCTGCAACGAAAAAAAAAAAAGACGCCATCTTTAGGACCGTGCAGCGATCGCGATCCACGTCAAGGACACCGGTGCATCCATACATTACTGGACCACTCTACAAACGCCGGTCCATAGCAGTCTGACCCACTGCTGTCTACAGATTCGTAAAACATGTTACATCAAACCAAGTCACAAGCTTTGCTGAGTAGGGAGCTTGAGCAACTTGCTGCACTCGGTGACGGCTTTCTGTGGCAGTGCAATCAAAGGTACGGTAGCACTGCTTGAGCTTCAATATCCATAATTAACACTAAAAATAAATATATACAACACACGATTGAATTATTCAGATCAATGAAAAAGGGGGTGTATCTCAAAACAATTTATTCACCCGTTCTCGTTTCCTCAGCGAGCGGACCTTGATTTCCGCTGCATGTTTCAGGAGCATAAGTGACGTATTCCAGGAACTACTGGCCGAATTGCGGGACTGAAGAACGTGCGCGCGTGTATGTCAGGGGATTGCGTATAGGCTAGTTGGGAAGGGGGAAGGGCGGACTTGTGCTTCCTCGGGGATATGCGGTGACCCAGCGATATACCGACACCTCGAAATGCCCTCATTCTATTTTTCCCCCTTGGAGGATGAAACGCGAAGGATGTACCGAGTACAGATCAAGTGTGACGGGCCACATCGAGAAGAACGTTTTGAGAACGGTCCTTTTGAGACAATCCAAACGAGAAGGGACTAAATGTCAACCACCCTCGAAAAAGTGGCAACTGGCTTTTTGGAGGTGCAATGGGAGGACGGCGGAGTTTCGGCCCCCCGGTGGTGGGCTGCGAAGCGGCGTTTTTGTCGTTTTAGCAATCCATCCGCAGCACGTCGCCGCGAAGCGGCGTAAGCGGGGACCACGGGTGGGTTAACATGCGAAAGAGCGAACCAACCGCTGTCGCCCGTTGTAGTCCAAAATGCCCGACCCCAAAAAATGCCTGAAAAAACGTTGGAAACAACCACAATGAAGCTACGCACGCACACTTCTGTCTTCAGAAATGCCCACCTGCACCAACTGGTAACAGTGTGAACACCCAGCGTGTTGGAATCCAGCATACGGGAGGGCCGCCCGCCCCCCGTCCCGAAAACCAATGAACTCATGGATAGGTGGATGAAGCTAGCACCACATTGCGAATCGGGCGGCGGCACGCGCCGCCTAGCTATAAGCATCGCAATTAAAACAAAAGGCACACCCACGTGCGGCGCCCCAACAAGTCCAAATTACAAAACCCCTCAAAAAAAAAAAAAAGACAGACCGAGGTGCTGCGGGCAACAAAGAACATTCGAAGGAACCTGGGGTTGAACGACCCCCTTTTTCTTTTCTTCTTTTTTCCCTGCGTGTCAAAAAAGCTATCACAAGGAAAAACCGCGGCGGCAACGGCGGCGGCGCGCCCACGAGACTTGGCAAGCGGACAGAAAAAGGAGCCCAGAAGGAGCACACAGTGCAAAAAGCGCAGACGGAAGAAAACGGCCAGGTGGAACCGCCGCCGCCGCAAGTACGACAAATCGCGAAATCCCGGCACCTCTTCCCCGAGGGCCTCCCAAACGACACAGATAAAAACGCTCAAACTCTTTCAAAGACAGGCATCACAAACAAGCCAACTTGCCAAGTTCAATGAATGGGCGAAAAAAAAAAATGAGACTGGGGAAGAAAAAAAAAAGAGAAGCCGGAAAAGTGTTGCCGGTGAAGATTCGACATGGGGGAGAGGGAGGGCAAATTACATAATCGTGTTCCCCTTTCCCCTTCATACCGGAATGCCGCGTCTGCTGAGATCTCGGTTTTGTTTTGTTTTAGTCTTGAGTATTCGTTGTTTCATCCCGCGAACGCACTTGCCAAAGGAGGGGGGGGGGGGGGGGGGGGAAGCCCCGACGAGGTCGACTGTTACTCAGCGAGGGCCAGAGCAACCCCTAGAAATCCCCGCTGCAGGGCACACCCGGAAAGGAGCTATGTGTAAGCGAACACCTGTGGCTCAAGAAAACAGAAAAGCCGGAACTGAAATTCCTTTTCCCAGTGTGTCACCAAAAGAGAAGAAATAAAGAAACATCGACGGTTCAAGTTTTTAGACGGAGTCAAACTACAAACTTAAGAGCAAGTTTCCATTTTACTTTTTTTTTTTGTTGGGACATTCGGAAAACAATTTGAAGGAATACCAATAAATGGAACGCTCTTATCGAAGTCATCACAGAATATCTCCCACACACTAACAATGCTCAACGCATCTCTAACCTGCAAGTTCCTCAAAACAATACAATATATATAAAACCATCGCAGACAGAAAAAAAAAAAAAAGGAAGAATGACAAACTACAAGACAAAAAAATACCGAAAACAGTAATTGAGCCAACACCTCTCTAGAAACACCGCTTAGTTTCCCCTAAAAACGTCGTCATACCAAAACAACAACAAAAAAAACAACGAAGTATGAATTCTTTTACAGTTAAGATGAAGAGTTCACCGACCCGCCTAGGAAGCCCACCAAAACTCCGAAACACTCCAGACACCTAGCCAAAAACAAAAAGACACTTTACTGCACTCGAGAAACCCAGAGGCCCGGAAATCTATATGGAGCAAAGGTGCGCCGACAGCGACGACAACCCAGTCGGGGTCGCGTTTTTAAACTCCCCGAGGGACTCCGTCTTCGTGTGGCCCAGACGGTGTCGGAGAAAAAGAAAGCAAAAAAAAAAAAAAAAAGGCGAGTCCTTTCACACAACGAGAAGTCAACGAACGGCCAGGAATGACAGGAAGATCTCTTTCAAAGAGCTCACAACGGAAATATACTAGCACCCTTTCTCGGAAAGCTCCGAAACTCCAGGGGTACTTCCTAGCGCGTAAGGATCCGTGACCGGAAATGATGGCCACGCAGAGATAAAAATGAACCTTATTGAAGGCAAGATATCATGTCGCCGAAATCGGACTGCAGTGGAACAGAAGAAAAAAAAAAAAAAAAAAAAACCAATGCACCAACGCGCAATGTTACGAAATAGCCCGCATTTGCTCACACCAGGCGTAGGTAGGCATTGCGCTTGCGCATGGCGAAGCAAGTAACGCATGACGCCGTCTTTTCCTTTTTTTAACAACGTAAGATGGCAACAATGATTGAAACCGAAAAACTTGTGATCACCGCATGATTAGTCACACGTAATTCACGTCCGAACGACCCATGCCCGTCCTAACAGCGGTGATAAGGATGATAAAAACTGGGGCACCAACCAATTCAAATTACCGCAAAAAAAAAAAAAAAGAGCGCAAACGCAAAGCCAATCACAAGACGAAAAAAAATTATTAAATGACCCTCGCCATTTGTTCGAAGGAAAAAAAAAAACATGCGCAACTCTTTCAGTGATGTTTCAATGGCGAGAGCTCATTTTGGAAGAAATGTAATAAGTCACCGCGCCGAGACGCTGTATTAAACGACAGGCGCTGAAGACTACCAGCTAAGGTAAAGCAATTTCATCATCTACCGTGAAAAGATCAAATCTTTTAAAGCATTAAATAGCTGAGCTCGAAATAGGACTGGAATCAACGACCGTGGAGATTAAAACGATTCCCCCTGCCTTGTTTTTTGATACTTTCTCCAGCGCAGTCACGCTAGATGCTTCGCACGCGCACATGCACACAGACAGACGAAACGCGTCTTGGGAATGCGGGCCCTTTCCCAAAAACCTTTTACCATCTACGCAACTTTCCATTTTACCCCCGGTACTGCCTCCTCACCCCCAAATCCCTTTCTCTCAACGTCGGCTGAACCTTTATCGCCGCTGCTAGGGAAAACCAACAAACGTAAGCGATCAGCAGTAAAAAGAACTTTAAAAAAAAAAAAAAAAGAAATACAACCAGTCAGGGCGTTTTGGACATCGGGCGCCGAACCCAACACACCCAGGCGTGTTACACGAACACTACTACTACTACATACACGCACATACACAAGGCAGAGGGCGGCGTAGAAGAAAAAAAAAGCACGAAAATCAAAGCAAATCTAAACATCTAAAGAACGCTAATCAAAACCAGTCACGCCGGAATAATCAGTCGGGCAACCCCCTCTCCCATTGTATTATATCGTTTTTTACCTGTCTCGCTTGCCTACGGCCTAGCTCGCTCTTTAATAACACCTTCTCCACATGCGCGGACTCCCTCTCCGAATACCGTTATCGCGGCCCTCCCAAAAAGAAACCCGTGAAGAAGTTGGGCGATGTAGAGACGCAAAAACGACATCCAAAAGCAGCAGAAAACAACGCAAAGACGAGAGACACAAACCCGCCGAGAGCCAATATCACCAGTGGCATTTTAAGACAACAAACAAAAAAAGACGAGGATTTGGAGACTGGATTTTTGCGAAGACGTACCCACAAAAGAATGATAGAAAATCATCGATCGGTGGACGTGTCAACGTTTCATTATATGTTAAGTAATGTTCCAGCTTCGATCATTGTGCGGGAGCAAAACACGATCAACAAGCGCAATATTCATAGCCCGGGCACACAAACTTTCCATCTCCATCGCCGCTAAAAAAAAAAGTGTTGTAGGCGTTACCGACAAAAAGTAACGAAACACGTTACTCATCACTTTCAAATAAAAGGTACGCGTTACCGACAAAAAGTAACGCACGTTACTTTTTGAATTAAGTTCACACGTTTCAATGTGTCGAAGTGAGATGTATGAATGAGCGCCATATTGCCAGAAACATTGTGGCCACGCAGAAACTGAACATAATTACCTCATCGTTTTTATGGCTTACATAAACAAAAAAAAAAACACAGACGCCAAAAAACTCGAAAATTCACTTAACTTGGCACCTAAAAACGTTAAAAAAATTGAAGTAATACATTATTGCGTCTTGGTAAATAACGTAACTACGTTACCTTTATTGCTATGAAAATGTAACGAGTACATTGCTACGTTACCGAAAAAAGTAGAGTTTTCGTAGATAGCGTTTCCCCCTCCGCAACGAAGAAGCCGCTACTGCGCCTGCGCGCCAAATCTACGAAAACTCCATATTAACCCGTTGCAGATGCAGCTCCGCCCCGCCTTTCTCAAGTTGTCCGCGGCCATAATACGGAACCTCCCTGAACCTGCGCCAGGCTAGCGAAGCGTACAAGGAATAGAAGCAGCGATTTCGAAACGCCCGCTACTTCCTAGTGCGAACTGACGCAATACGCGGACAACGCCGCCGCCGCCGAGATCGATATTTCGGTAAAACGCGCAGAATGCTCTTCCTGTCTACTGAGAGCGCAGCGCAAACCACCATCCGCGAAGCAATAAAAAGAAGAAAAAAACTGGATCTCGGTGCAACGGCGCAGAAACAAGTAACTCGCGGAGTTAATCGAATTCAAGTAACAAGTTGACACCAATCAGATCCACCTCTGTGCGAAATTTGCGTTCATTAATAACTACCAAGGGCCGCGTTAATCGCGGTTTTTGTGCAGACAAGGGACTCAAGCAGACGACGGCAAGGCGGCAGCCATCAGCCGTTGCAAAAAAAGTCATCAGAACTGGCAGGCAACATCGGAAATCGTCATTCCACCGTAACGGTACGATGGACGACTCGTGTACGATTACGCGTCCGCCAGAAAAACGACAAAAGGAAAAGGGAGGAAAGCAAACGGCGGCGTTGCAAAAGACGAGGTCAGGCGGCAGTGGGGTTGCGAAGCAGACGGAGGGCTCCAACCAGATCATCAGTAGCAGACGACGAAATCTCGCAAGGAAGGCGGAAGGAAGCCAGATCGCAGACGACGGAGGGGGCGCCGAACGTGGAAGAGATCAAAAAATGGCGCAACTCCGGCTCTCTTTTTGCGTAACAGCGCAGCAGCAAGCGCGCGTACCCCGTTCCATCGAAAACAAATCACCCAAAAAGTAATACGCCGATGCGCCCTTTTCTTCGGCAGCGCGCAGTTTGCCATCGGCCGCAACGAGATGGCGCCGTCGCACAATAGGCAGCGCGAACAACTGCTCCAAACAAACACACAAACCAAGTCCCCCAGACAGGAACGGGCAGCGGTTTCTCTGCCCCGACCACACAAACGACGAACGCGGAGAGCAGCGCTAGCGCGGCGCTTAGCGTCGTCGCCGGCCTCGAGGTGAAAGACCCGAACCCACCACCCTCCCTTCGTCATCGATCGAGAGTTTTCCACCAAGGGCGCATCGTCTCTGGCCCGTCTCGCCGCCACCCCCCGGCATACGAAGAATCTAGGAAATGTCCCTCCTCCCCATACGCTACCCTCCCACTCTGCCGGTGACCTTGGAGAGCGGACCAGCGCCAAGGTTGGGCTCTTTGTTCGCGCCGACGGGTGACGACCCCAGTCCCACGATCATGTCAAACTTGGACGTTCGCGCGTGCCTCGCTGAATTCGAGTACTGGTACTACAATCAAAAAGAAATCGAGGGTTCGTAGCCCGTGCATAAACTTCTGCCAGACTGAGACATGTACGAATGGGCGATCCAGGAGAACAATGCCAGTTTCAACAGAAGCAAGAGCCTCGCAGATGAACAACGCGGCTAAGAAGCCAAGTTAGTTCCTATGCTACTCAACCGCACACAAAGGGTTCCGGAGCAGATGCGAACAAGGAGACCAGAGAAAGCAAGACAAACAAACAAAGAACGCAGTTCCGTCATCGGTGCTGGCGAGAGAAAGCCAACGACGCACATTCGACAATCGGAGAGGTGCGGGCGAAACAGAAGAGATGAGAAAAAAAGACAAGAAAAAATTCCTCAGAAACAGAGTTATCAGCGTAGCCCCAGTTCGGCCCCGAACGCGCCCGCACGCGCGCGGGACGCAGAAAAAATGATAGCGTCCCAAGGCAACACCGCCGCCAAGATCGCGAAAGCGTCTTGAACAAACGCAGAAAGAGACGGAAAAAGAGAAACAAGAAGAGGCCCATGCCAACTTACCGGACTCTGACGGCGTATCCGACATGACGTATTCCCGTTTGTTGAGGTCTCTCTTCCAGACGCCACGACTTCGCACTAAGACAATCGGCTGTGAGCTAGCGGACGACTTTGATGACGCGGTCGCTGACGACGGCGCAGTCTGCGCGGACGCGGCAGCAGACGACAGGCACACGTCATTGATGATAGAAGAGTCTGTGGAGAGCGTTGGCTGGTGGTAGCAGTGGTCACTGAGCGGCGTGTAGGCTAGCACCGCGCTGGGATCCACACAACGGGTAGCTTCCACACCTCCGCAGTCCTCTTCGAGGCTAGCAGTCCGCGGTAGCACGTTGTCCGGCGACGTGGCGACACCCACGGCGTCGCCCATGCACTCGTACGGCTCGCATTTTTCGCACGAAGAGGTCGACTTGAGCACGATGACGCCGTTACAGTCTTGTTTCTCGCGGGCAGCCTTCTGCGTACAGTTCACCGCGCACTCGCCGGCCCACATGCAGTCGTGCAAGAGTTCGCCCGTCTGGGTCTTGGAGGACCATCCGACGGGCGAGTCTCGGGGCTTGAACAACTCGACGTCGCTGCGCAGGATTTCATCGACGATGTCCTCGTGCTCGAAGATGATGTCCGACAGCAAAAGGTCTTCGTCGAAGTCCACTATTTCCTGGTCGTAGAAGACGTCGTCGAAAATCTTGTCGTCAGACCGGTCGGGAGACCGCGGCGGAGTGGGCAGAAGTTCAAACTTTTTCCATATGTCGTCGCTCGGTGCCGGAATGGAACTGAACTCTTCCATCAGGTTGTACGGCGAGCCTGGCGCCGAGTAGTCGTCGAGGAAAAAGCCAGACATATTCTCCAAGTCTTCCATTTCCATCGTTGTCTGGGTATGATGCGGGCTCGGTGCACAGTCAGCGATGGTCGGCCAATTGGACGGAGAGGTCGACAACATCGTCGACTTCACATAACCTCCTCAGTGCTCCACCGATTATTCCTGGGAAGACCAGGAACAAACATTAGACAAACACGATAAAACAAAGGAAAAAAAAAAGGTAGACCGAACGAAATATCCCAGATTCCCCCCCCCCCCCCCCCCCCCCCTTCCCCCCGCCCCCCTAGTACACGGCGTCAATCTCAAGCGCCACTGCAGACAAGCCAACAGCACTAAAAAGCCGAAAATTCGGACAAACGCTACTGTCAAGTAGGCATTCGATCGAAACATTGAACCAGCGTTCGACTTCCCGAGAGCCCCGAAACACTGGAACGCCGGAAGCGTCTTAAACGCGATCCGTCGATCACGAATACAAAGACAAAACCACCTTACCCCGCGCCGGCAAACTCACCTAGCACAAAACACTGAGCTTCTTCGGAAAACAGAGTTCAAGACGCATACGACCAAAGTCGACGTCGTCGTAACCTAATGCGAGAATCAAATGTCGCCGTGAAAACGCGCAGACAGCCGGCGCCATGCCGGCGCGTTTAAATGTCATTCATTCGGCGAAACGCCGGCAAGTTCCAACCTGCCAGCCGGTACGGGTCGACAAAAGCGCGCTTGCAGCGCAAGTACGCAACGACAGGCGCCGCCAACTGCGTCGAAGCGATGCTCACCTGTCGGGGTTATCGGTAATCCTTGTGGAAAACGACGTATTTAACTCCTAACGGGCGTAGTCGGCGATATCCAAGGCATACTACGCGATTCCTCAAACACAACGGGCCAGCGCACGACACGGACTGTCGCGTCGCGGCCGCTCTTGGCTTATGTAGTAGGACGACACCCTGTATCCGTGCGCGTTGCGCAGAAACATTTTGCATCGTAGTTACGCCTCAAATAGATTACTAAAATCTCCTAGAGTTATAACTAAACATAAATTAAGTGATGTCTTGAGCTATCAATTTGATTTTACCCGATAAAAATGCAAAAACCGGGTAGAACTACTTCCTCTCGCGCAGCACATAGTATCCAAGCGCGCGGCGCCATCGTGGCGGGAACCGCGGGTGCCGGGTACGCGCTCAGAGTGGCGCGCCGCGGCGACCAATGGGCGTCGCGTTCGCGAAAAGCGCGGGAAAAAAGTGACCAATCGGGGGGCTGCAAAAAGCGGCGGCCCCTCCGCATGCCCACGTGCGTGCTCTCGCTCGGGGAGTTTAAATGGGAGGGGAGCTCCGATATGAAGAAAAAGCAGACAGAAAAAAAGCGCGCGCTAGCAGGCGACGCTCTCGGGAGGCCATCTTTTTTTTGTTGCTGTTGTTGTTGTTCTTCCTTGTCTGGTTTTTCGCGTTCTTTATCGCTTGCCTGGCAAGCGGCGGCAACGGCGCTTTTTCGCCGGTAGGATTCGGTCATCATACCGCCTCGAGTTTGTATCATGATCGCTTGGCGCCGCTGACTCGCGACGTAAGCAACAAGCATCCAGTCACGCCCACCTTTACTAATTGTGCCGCAAACTCGGCTGCGCGGAGAGTCAAAGGGCGGTGATTTCATTCGCCTGATCTTGCATTTTCAACTTCTGTTTGCTTTCTTTCTTTCTTTTTCTTCCTTTTTTTTTTTTTTTTTTTTTTTTTTACGCGCACGAAAGTAAGGTGGAGAAAGCACCGTGCAGAGTTGGCCTGTCTTCTGGGCAAAAGAACAGCGACAACAGACAGACGCGATGAAAAAAAGAAAAAACAGAATTAAGAAAAAATAACGAAATCCTGTGGCTTCGCGTTTCTGGTAAAACGCGATGACCCGGTTTGCACCTCAAACTTGCAATGCGGACAAACCTAGCCCATGATAACACGGACTGTAATCAAACCTTTCGCCGTGCCGTATATATTATTATTATTATTAGCACAGTATTATTCATTTTTGCTGTTGCTGCTGTTGGTGGTGGTGTTTTGTTAGATTTTTATTTATTTTGCATTAACTTCATTCCCGTAATGACTTCAAAAGTGTTCGTTTATTCTTCGGACTTGTGGATTCGTTGGCTTTTAAATGTTAATTTTTAGTATCTTTCCTCTTTCAACCCGTATCCGTTCTAAGCCCCTGGGCCTTAAGGAACGAAATGCCGTTGCAGACTACTGCGCCCACACACTGCAGAGCCGGCAATGTTGCGCCACTGAACGGATTCTATTTCCTAGCTTCCTCTTTCGTTTTTTTTGTTTTTTTTTTTTTCCAATTTTGTTTATTTTTTTTTATTGACTTAACGACGACTAAACCGTACTTTGCAACTAATAATTAAAAGAAAAAGACATCCAGACCCATCTTCTTCTGGGGTACGGGCAAAAAAACGCGGTAGTTAACTTTTGATGAAATAGCCGCGATGATTTAGATCTAAATGTTTCTTTACTTGACTATTTCTTTGCTTCCCAGTTTCCGTAGTGCAAAAGGCTTTCTTTTTTTCGTAATTTGCAGAAAAGGGGGGGGGGGGGGGGGGGGGGTATCGTTTTACTTCGCTTTCAAGGTTTCGCTATTTTTTACGACCAGTCTGGGAGTCTTCCACACGGACGACGCATTTAAATGGGCGTTCGTCTTTGGAGATGTCCCGGAAAAACTGGCTCCCTTTCCTCTGCGCTGTGACCGTCGCGAATAAAGCAGCGCGGACAGACGATTCGAAGTCCTTTACTATCTTCGCCTTATCGCCACTGATCTATTCGTTTAATAGAGCAGTAAAACTGAGTAAAATTTAATCTCCTCTCGATTGTGAGTGCGGTTTCGCCATTTAAACTAGACTCCCGCTATCGCTTCAGACGCTACTCAGCCCGGCCGCGGTATTTCCTGAAGCGCAGAACAAATTGCTCGCGATACCGGAAAAAAAAGAAAGAAAGAAAAAAAAAAAATGCCCGGGATAGAAAACTGGCACCTGCGTGAAACGTTTGAGCAAAGCGCCGCGTCGGTCCCGCGCTCACCGACAGATGGCGCGATCGGTCGACGTTCGGCTCTATTCGACTGGCGGCGGCGAGAGCAGACGATACGATCTGCTGGCTCGTCTGCTCCGGACGCTCGTCGTCTGCTTCAAACAAGAAGAAAGGAGCATCAGTTTTGGATGCGTTTGCGCGACTTCAACGCGAAATTGCGCGTTTTACGCCCAATAAACCGCATCGATGGTCTTAACGTTGTGTTGTTTTCTACGCGAGTTACGTGTGACAACTTTTGGGCGTTTGAAACGCGCAGTGCGCCTGGCCTTTTGTTGGTAACGCCGGGCGCTAGTGTCTACATATCGTTTGCGTCTGCCATTGTTTGGGATTCGGAACGTGTAACTGACTGCGTCAAGATACGGTCGAACGCTTAAACCAAAGCGCGGTTTTAATGGCACCGCTGGTCTACTGACACGCTTCCGCGCACCTCGGAAAAAAAAAAACAAAAAAACCTACGGTCAAGAAGGTTTGTTAAATCGCTTCGGCGATCGCCGAGTGCTTGAATTTATAATGCGCGTTTTCAGCGTCGCCTCCACGTCGCGCTGAATCAGATTTTCCTCTCGACTCGCTTATCACGAGCATCTTTTCGATGGGCTTTCTCTTCGATTCGCATTGAATGGGAGAAACGTGTTATCGACTAGGGGGAAGTGTGGCGTATGGGGGAATACACCCTTCCTTCACAGTGTCGTTTTACTGTTTTTTTTTTTTTTTTTTGCAACGCATGATTACGCCATCTTTGTGCAAACACTCTTCGGGCGGTTGTTTCTATCGCGACAACGTATATCCCATTCCTTTGCATTGCGTGCGACTTTTTTCTTCCCCGCTTTGCTTTTTTTTTTTTTTTTTATGATGCAAGGCGGGTGCAGCCGCACTCGCCTGGCTGCTGGATTCCATGCAAGCTACATAGGCCCTCGGACAGTATTCGACGCTTTCTGTCGTTATTCGTGTACCCTATCGCCCAGCAATCGTGTCCCGATGACCGGGGGACGGTCGCCATCGAAGACCATGGAGAAAGCTTGGCACGCGGCATTCGAACCCCGGACGCTGCGGTCACTCGTGCTTGCAGACTTTCGTTTGTATGGTGCATGAGCAGTGTGACAACGGCTTTACGGAGTTCCCTCTCCGAGTTGTAAGTTATCCTACAAGGTTCACAAAGCCGAAGCTCTCCCCGCCTCTGCCAAGTACGACCGTGAAATGCATTCGTTTATGATTCGCGTTCGTTTTTTCCTGCAGTCGCTTTCAAAGCTACCACAGGCTGAGTCCCGCGCATCTCATCAGGGCTTCGCAGCCATTGATATGGCCACATTTGCCGAATGCCAAAGAACGAATGACGAAGCATAAACGTAATAAACACCCCTTCCCCCCCCCTCCCCCCCCCCCCAAAAAAAAAAAGACAGAAAAAACAAAAAAGAAGACATGATTCTCCCTATTTCTTTTTCCTACTTGGCGAAAACCGTGGGCCTGCCAGGCTTTTCAACCTACGTCCTTAGAAAGAAAGGTACTCTCCTAGGATAGAATGAAAGCGCAAGTAAATAAATTAATTCAAAATTAAAAGGGTGCAGCGAAGAACAGTTATATTCCTTTCCGGATGTGCCTTTCCTGCATGATCAAATTGGGAACGAAGTGTGTGGTGAAGTACCGCCTCTTATCTGAAAACAGTAAGTCGCCGCTCACTTTTTGCTATGTTCTATTCCATTTAATTTCGTATGATTCAGTAACCAAACGTTTGGTCAAAAAGTGACCAGAGTATTCATTGAATTTCTGGTGATTCGACAGCGGCGTGAAAGCAATTCAGAAGCGAGAGAAAAACATCTAAAATTCACTATAACGCTCCAAAATACGGCGAAGGGAAATTCGATTGAACGGCGACGAGCGATTCGATGAAACGGCGTTTGATAAAATGTGCGGTAACCGACAAATGCCACATCCGCCAACCACGTCGGTTCGTGTTTGTTTGTTTGTATTTGCCGTATTAGACTTAGTTTTTTTTTATTTTTTGAATCAATTAATGTCGTGTCCTCAGACTTTCGCTTCCTACGACAACGGATAGCGTCACATTCTCACGAATTTTCAGATTCCTGCTATGCGTATAGTTCATTTACGAAAGTCTGAAAAAACACAATTCTTTCTCAAAAAAGTTCAGTACATAGTGTTTTGCGTTACTTTCTGGTGCAACACTCTGTAGTCCCTTCTCAAGTTGTGCTGCAAGCTGCAGTCCATTTTCAAGTTGTAGCACAATGTATCTCTGCGTCATGGGCGCTTCAATCAGCAGAAGGCAGCGAGTTGTGTCGCACGACAATGCCCCTCGTCTATTCAGGCGCGATTTGAGTAACTCTTCAGGTAAATCATTAAAAATCTTGAATAGATAATAGTTGCTTGTCGCGTATGCATATTTGGTGCAAATAAACTGTTCAATCAAGTGTGTCTTCCTTTTTTTTTTTTTTCTTCTTTTTCTGTCGGGTAGGATTGACAGTTATGAAAGAATGATGCGCGTTAGGAAGTAATACAGGATGAACTAAAAGGCACCATGAACTCACTGACAGCCTACACCCTTATCCGGCACATATTCGCATTTCGCTCCTTACATGCCTACATTACTGAAATTTCTTCCACCAAACTTGGCATAAAAGATCATTCGATTTTTGTGTGTTTTTCCTCCCCCCCCCCCCCCCCCCCCTCTTCCCAAACCTGCACCCTGATAACGCGCGCGTTCACATTAACCGAAGATCCTCAAGAATCCGCAAAACGGAACTGCGCTCAAAGTGCTTCTCTGCGTTTGCTTCTTCCTTATTTTTTGCACCCCTTCCAGAAACCATTGAATAAAAACAATATGGTTCACTTTATGCTATCTTCTTGACAAAAGACTAGAGGGTTTCAAAGTCCGGAATGCTTCCCAGGATGTCCTCAAACCGAAGAAGCCAGCGAACAAAGAGGATTCCAAGCCATCATCGCATTATCGCCCCCCCCCCCCTCCTTCCCCTAAAAAATAGGTTGCTTTGCAGCTTCTCCCCTGTCACACCCCCGTTCTGGTCACAGGGAGAGCCACCACACCTTCCCTCACATCTCGTTGACATTGGAGGATCTTACT